CTAGTTACTTTAACCCTTTTTTTAAACCCTTTTTTTTCTTTTTTTCTTTTTTTTTTAATTTTTAAGCTGGGGATATTCTGAAGTAAAAATATGCTAAACAGAATTACAGGTGCCAAGGTAGGAAAATCAGTGTTGATAAAGAAGTATTTATAATAAGTCATAAAAAAGTTGGATAGTATTTTTCAGAACTTTAAAACATGAGCATGAAATGTCAAGTTATGGTCAAAGCAGCCCCCATAATTCTTTTCCTGAGCTATAGGTAGAATTTTTTTCCCCCATGCACGAGAATCAGGAAAAAAAAACTAAATAGGCCACATTTCCAAAAATGCAAAAAAATATAAAGGCTGCTCTTATGTGGTGCTGAGAAATGTTGATGTGTTGCAACTCACTGACTTTAACAGGGATTGAAGACAGCACTTCAGCACCTCTTAAAATTAGACCATTAGTTGTAGATCTGAATATAAGCACAGGACCTAATCCTGCAATGTACTAAATCAGAGGTGGGCAAACTACAGCCCACGGGCCACATCCGGCCCACGGGACCCTCCTGCCCAGCCCCTGAGCTCCTGTCCCGGGAGGCTGGCTCCCAGACCCTCCCCCACTGTTCCCCCTCCTCCCCCCGCAGCCTCAGTTCGCTGCACCACCAGCGTAGTGCTCTGGGCGGCGGGGCTCTTGCAGAGCCGCGGCCTGTCCTGGTGCTCTGGGTGGCACGGCTGTAGCACCACCAGACACCAGTGCTCCAGGCAGCGCGGTAAGGGGGCAGGGAGAAGGGGGGTTGGCTAGAGGGCAGGGGAGTTCAGGGTGGTGGTCAAGGGCTGAGGGTGTGGATGGGGGGGCATGGCAGGGAACAGGGGGGTTGAATGGGGGCAGGGGTCTCGGGGGAGCAATCAGGAAAGGAGGGGTAAGATGGTGCGGTGGGGGGCAGTCAGGGGCAGGGGTTCTGGGGGCAGTCAGGGGACAGGGAGAAGGGGTGATTGGATGGGGCAGCGATTCCAGGGGGGCAGTCAGGAATGAGAGGAGGGGTTGGATTGGGCAGCAAGGGGTGGGCAAGGGACAGGGAGGGGTGGATGGAACGGGGTCCTGGGGGGGGGGGTAGGAGGAGGCAGGAGTCCCAGGGCAAGGCAGCAGGGGGCAAGAAGCGGGGGAGGGGAGGGGGGTCGGACCACGCCTGGCTGTTTGGGGAGGCATAGCCACCCTTAACCGGCCCTCCATACAATTTCAGAAACCCAATGTGGCCATCAGGCCAAAAAAGTTTGCCCGCCCCTGTACTAAGTGCTTCCTGCACAACTTGAGTGCCCTTACCTCTCATTCAGTGAAATTATGACTTTCAGCATAAGGGCACTGAGCAGCTTAAAAGACCAAGCTCTAAGCAAGGAACATCACAGATAGTGTGGAATTAGATCTTTAACCCATCACTTAAATAAAAAGTAGCATACCCTTCAATTACGTGGCAAACAGAATAAAGGAAGCAGGTAGATGCTAAACTGAACCCTGTTACTTCAGTTTCCCTAGAAACCAACCCAGGGTTACACTTATATTGGTTTTATTAAATGCTGCTATTGGATCAAACAGAAAAGGGATGGAGCTTATTCATGCACGTACACATTCATTGTATTCATACCCTCATGCACCCACACACTCAGACAGGCGAAGAGTTATTGAAGACAGCAAAGGAAGCCAAGGCATAGTAGATCTGGTGTGTCCGCCTGTAGTCACGGATCCGGGCCGGTGAGCAGGTCGAGAAGCAGGATTCTTCTGGATTGCATTCTACTGGATTGAGCAGAGGCTTTACATAACAAACCCAACTTAGTTTAACTGGACATTTAGACTTGAATTGTGTTTTAAAAGGACAAGTATTAAACTTCGAGAACCTATTGAATCAAAAAGATCAGCGTTATGAAGTCAAAGTTTCTGAGCTTGATTATGTACATTACTTACAGTACATAACTTAAAGGTATGGTGGTAGGAAGAGGGTAATTTAAGTCTGAAAGCATAACATGCTAAGAAAATACAAGCATGCTTACTTAATAATTCATGGTGATATGGAAGCAAGAGGTTGTTGGAACCCTTGACTTGTTCTGAGTGACAGACCTGCCTCTCCTTCCACACTGAAAAGTTCCAGGGAAACTGCAAGTCCCTATCCTGGTGCCCACTCCTCTGCGTTTATAGAATGATCTGACCCTTTGTGTCTTTAAAGGAAAGCATAGCAAACCTATAATCATTCATTTTACTGTACTCTATTAGCTTATTTCTCACCACGCAGGAGCTGAGGAGCTTCTTCCCTTCCTTGTCAGCCACCAACTGAGCTAGGTTCTCCCCTTTTAGCTCTAATCTCCAGGCCTGACACCTTCTTCACTTGTAGTAGGGCAGGGTTGATTTGAGCCCATAGGGCTCTGGTTAACCCCTTCTTGGCCAACGTGGGGTTTGGATTTTGTGTTTGATTGGTTCTGATGGACGTTACAGTAAAATGATCACCTATTGATTAATAGGTATGAGGGAGTTTAAAATTGTATATTTACACATCAAGGAGCTGAAAGAAGGTATATTTATTATCTTTAACTCACACCCTGTTATTTTTCTTGTTAAACATCTCCATCTGCTCAATGATATGTGATATAAACCATTTTAGTTTCCTTAAACTCGTGTGCTAAAGCTAGTTGTGATGTGAAAGAAGTGGAATGTAAGTTACACATTAAGTGGATGCAAGTCTGCCATTTTTGAGGCAGTCTAAATTAATGTAGTTTACATATTCTTCAAGTCCTCTAAATATTAAATTACTTTGAGGTTCCCATTAGATCAATCTGATTTGCCATAAACTTACATTGGAATCAGGAGCAGACCCAAGTTCTTGAAGTCCACCAATGAAAACAAACACCAAATTCAGTGAAGTTAATGGGAGTGCAAGGACCTAACTAGGACAGAATTTGGCTCCTAAATATGCAATCAATCAGCAATTTCAGATATTGGAATTTGTGATCAAGCCACTCTTAATGTACTCAAGTTCAAGTGCTGAAAAGATGGAAATGGAATGAAACTGGGCTCTGTTCTTCAACTATGGTAATTTCTTAGCAGTGAGATGCCTGGCAAATTTACTTTTACTCAGATAGGACATGGAACATTTTAATTGCCTTTATTTAACTGCCTTAACATTTAAACTTGCCTTATATTCATTTCAGCTGACACTGAAGATTGCTCATTTAGTCAGCTCTGTGAAAGATAAAGTAGTTATTGCACATATCTTCTAAAACAGGGGTGGGCAAATTACGGCTCAGCCCGTCAGACCTTCTAATCTGGCCCTCGAGCTCTCGCCGGGGAGCGGGGTTGGGAGCTTGCCCCACTCCATGCGTGCCATAGCTCTGCATGGCTCTCAGAAGCAGTGGCATTTCCCCCCTACAGCTACTACACGTAGCGGCAGCCAGGGGCTCTGCACACTGCCCCCACCCCAAGCGCCAGCTCCGCAGCTCCCACTGGCCAGGAACCGCAGCCAATAGGAGCTGTAGGGGCAGTGCTTGCAGACATGGCAGCACGCAGAGCTGCCTGGCTGGCGCTGCACCTCCACGTAGGAGCTGGAGGGGGGACATGCCACTGCTTCCAGTAGCTGCTTGAGGTAAGCACTGCCTGGAGTCTGCACCCCTGAACCTCCTCCCCAGCCCCAATCCCCCTCTTGACCTCCAAACCCATCAATCCCAGCTGGAGCACCC